TTCAAAATATTCAATAAGATGCCTTTTCCTTCCAACGGGCACTGTTGAATTGGGATAGCTCATCCTGCTGTTGTGTTGCATTAGCAGCTCGGAGAAAGTGGGAATGAGAAGTGGGGGACAGGCTGGCATGTACAGAAAGTTGGTAACTCTCTAGTGGTCTCAGAAATATCTTTTCTAAAAAGGACAACCCTCTTGTACATATGAGGATGAAGGCTGTGAATGCAGACCTGACGGACAAGATTATGGTTCTTCAAGTGCTTGCTTGTGTGGTGTTTCAGATTGTTTTTGGTGGAAGAAATGGGAAGTCCTGAACCATAGTCTGTGTAGGTGGGCAGATAGTATAATGTCTGCTTGTCTGCAGGTGTGAAGGCACCCATCAATTGAAATGAGGCTCTTAATCCTACAGGGGTGTTGGTTTCTTGTTCTGAAGTATTTGCTTTATCTTCTTTCATTTGCATTACATAGCATATGCATATTGTTAGACGGCAATCATGTACATATTTCATTTGTGCCTTTTACTTAAAATGTATTTTACTTGCTTATAATATAATGCTTTTGGACACACACAGATATTACCAGTGTGATGCTCCATCAAGATTTGAGACATTCCTAGAGCAATCTGAGAAATAACGTGCTCTGGATTTAAGAATTTTGCATCATAAATACAGATGATTGAGCTCTAGCCTTTTCCCTGAAGGATCTGCACCGTTTTCATTTTAAGTTTATCCAAAAAGAAATGTGACGGTGCTTATCCTCCCCTTAGGTTATCCAGTGATATTCAGGATATCAGTATATAGAGCAATCCCCTTCACATATGACATGGTGTACAATATGCACTGCTGGATTCAGTGTTCTGTGGTTTTCCATACTAATATTCTGTCTTCTATGGACTAATACAGTTTTCTTAATTCAAACACACAAACAAGCTATTTTACAGAATAAGTATTTTAGAAATACTTCAAAGGGTTTTAAATTTTTAATTGGTATATTATTCATATCCTTCTGCCTGTGAATGAAGGTGCCTTTACATGAGTACTGAGATCTGAGAGATAAGAAAATTATAATGAATCATTTAAAAAATTTCTCTAAAATTATCTAAAATATTTTAGCCTGGCATAACAAAAATGCTTGCATAGCCCATACTTCCAGATACGGGAAAGGTAGGAACATAGCAAGGTGTTTCCCCCACTGGATCAATGCAACTTTCTAGCTGTACAAAACACATATTTCTAGCATTGAACGGTCATGAGCAGTGTTCCCTTTACACCAGTGTTTCCCAATTTTATTTGGCTACGGAACCCTTCTAAAGTCGAAAGAATTTTGCGGAACCCCTAATAATAGTCTAATATATGGAGCTGAAAAAGTAGACCACAAATAAGTAAGGATAATAATAAACAAATGCTAAATAAGGTTATGAGATCAACATTTAGTTGCACATATTTAAAAACAAAAATCACATAATATTAATTAAAAAAACATAAAATATTATTGTAATAGAATTTTCTCACTGATCTCCTATCTTCACTTTGTGGAACCCCAGGATTTTGGGGAACACACAATGTTCTACACTGCGTGGCAGCACAACTTCATAGTTGATTAATCAGCCCCGCCCAGTCAGAGGCTCAGGGCTCTGTGCACCAAGCTGACTGACTGTGTGGGGCTGATTAATCACCTGAGAAACTGTGCTGCCACACAATGTAGAGGGAACACGGTCACGAGATCTTAGATCTGACTCTGTCACTGGTCCAGGACAAAATACTGCATTCCTTGGGCATCGGGCCGGAGTAATTTTCAGATGAAGGAAGAAACATTTTTCTGGAAAGTTGATTCTGAGCTTCTTTTTTAAAGGCAGCTGTTTGAAGCTGCTCAGAGGTTTGGAATGTTAGAAATAGCCTTGGTGGAGCTAGATTAATTAGTGGAGTGCTGAAGCTAGGAAAGATGCATGATATTGAATGGATCTCTCTACCACGTGTGTGATGTAGTATGGCCCCAAAGCACAAGCTTAAGCACTTTGCACTTATAATTTTCTCTATATAAACACAAACACATGCAAGAATGAATGAACAAGGGCCAATAAACTTAGGAAATGAAAAAAGTTAGCTAGCTCAACCCCAGAATAATTCTCAATATATTCAGCATCCAGAATTAATGACTTGATGGCCCTGGATTTCAATGGCAGAAAATTGCCTGGAGTAGTAACAGCAGCACAATCCACAGAAGCGACCCACACTGGCCTTTGTGCAGTGTGGCCTGAAGCCAAATTGTACAGTCCAGAAAGCAGGCTGGGCTGGCTAGGACAAGCAATGAATCACCTAATATGGTTGTTTGGTAGCATGAAGTGAATGAACTTTTCTGATTAGTGTTCAGCTAATGCACTCCTCCTGTGCTATAAAAAAGTCAGTATTTTTCCTGAGGATTTCTTGGAATTATGATTACATACTTTGGAGCACCAGCTTGTTATTTCATTAGCAATGAAGCAAATACAAATGTTTAAAAAAACTCAAACCTCTCTTCTAAACTTTCAAATTCAATTGCTGGCATTCCATATAATCACACACCCCAGTTTGGATTGTTAACACATTGATTTGTGGGCACATATAAAGAAAGACATGGCTTGCCTGTGCAATAAGAATTTTCTCTTGCCCGAGCTTATCTTTCTTATGATCATGCACGTGCAGCTGTTCTTGGGTTCCAAGGGGAAAGGAGTACTGGGCATGTGACTCCTAAAATAATGTTTTATTTTACAAGTCTTATACTTTAAAAACTGTATTACAAGCCAAATATCTTCACTGTTTTCCAATAATTTTTGCAATATGTTTCAAGAAAA